GCTTCACCTCCCAGTGGGCTTGTTTGAATGTGCGAAAAGCAGCTATTTTTTGACTGTGCCAGGCAAGGGAAAGGCTGCTCTGCCCAAAATGTTGCTGTGTCTCAGTCAGTGCTGAGCAGGGATGGCAGGAATGTTACACTCAATGATGAGCAAGTGAGACTGGTGCAAAATTAGCATCAAGCATGGCAAGCCTTGCTTGAGACTGAGGTGTTTTCTGTATTCTGATTCGTTTTCCTATTATTCATGTGTTTGCTAATTAGCCCCAGGTCAGTGTTCAGCTCTGCAGGGCTGGGCTGTGGCTCCTCCTGCCCCAGCACAAGGACACAGGAGGAGCAGAGTCCCCTCCAAGCTTCCCTCATCTGTCCTCTCTCATACAGTGGTTGTTGCTTCTGCTTAGGAGGGTTTGGGGTTTTTTGTGCTTTGTGGCCATTTGGGTCAAACTTGGGAAAGCTGGAGAAGAACCTGCAGTGTGCAAGTGGAGTGGTGTCCATCCTTGTGCCAGCTGAGCAGAGCTCTCTGCAGCCCTGCAGGAGCAGGGGAGGGGTGGAAGGGGTGACAAAGCTGCTCCTGTCACACGGTGGGAACAGCGTGTGTGGGGTGGGGGGTGCTGAGCAAACCAAACCCTTCCTGCAGGAAGGGGATGAGAGGAGCTGGAGCTGACAGAGCTCCCACTCAGGGCATTAGAGCTCAGGGTTTTCTTAGGATTGTGGGAAGTGCCAGGAATGGTGCTGTTGAAACCTGGTGTCTCTACATGACTTAAAAACGGAGAGAGAGGAGAAATTTTGCCGGGAGTGATGTGTTGGAATGTGGCTTTTGCTGCCTCTGCCTGATAGAGAGCCCTTGGGCAGAGCTGGGCAGCAGGCATGGAACCCAGAGGGGCAGGATCATCCAGTCCAGCTCCTGGCCATGCACAGACACCCCAGCAATCCCACCCTGTCCCTCAGAGCGTTGTCCAAACCCTCCTGGAGCTCTGGCAGCCTTGGGGCTGTGCCCACTGCCCTGGGGAGCCTGTTCAGTGCCAACCACCCTCTGGGGGAAGAACCTTTCCCTGAGATCCACCCTGAGCCTGCCCTGACACAGCTCCAGCCATTCCCTGGGGGCTGTCCCTGCTCACGCAGAGCAGAGATCAGAGCTGCCCCTTGGGAGGAGCTGCAGACCCTGGTGAGGTCTGACCTCAGTCTCCTCCTCTCCAGCTGAACACACCAAGTGCCCTCAGCCACTCCTCGTATGGCCCCTCCAGACCCTTCACCATCTTTGTGTCCCTCTTTTGGACACTCTTAAGTACTGTGGTGCCCCAACTGCCCCCAGCACTCGAGGTGAGGCTGCCCTAGC